TATAATATATAAAAATAATAAATTATATAAATTAAAAGGACAAAAATTGTGCAAACCACTAAAGTTGAGGGACCAAAATGAGCATTTAACCTATATTAAATATGAATTATTTTTAATAATTAAATTAAATTAAAAATTTAATAATTATTAATAACTTTTGATAAAATGGTGATCATAACGGTACACCATTAATCACTATTTTGTTTTTCCAAGTCAGAAAACAGAAAAAGAAAATTGGATTTATGAATTCCAGCACATTGTCAACAGAGCTAAACAGACCTTTTAACCAAAAAGCCAATCGCATAATCCTCCTCACGACCTTTCAGAGAATGAGACTCTGCTGTCGTCAGCTCAGCGAAGAACGACAGACAAAGCAACAGGTGCATGAACGTCATTTACTCTCCAAAAATGGCTTCCTTCTTCTTCCTCCTCTCTCTATAAAGACACAGACAGCGGCACCCACAAAGGCAACCTTATTAACTACCCCCCAAAAAACATGGGCAATCGTATCTGGGTTTTTGTTCCTGAGATCCTTTTTGTCCTAATCAGTCTCTGTTTCTGTCTCTGCAATGGTGATCTTTCAACTTCTCAGCAAGAACTGGATAGGGTTGGTGAGCTCCCGGGGCAGAGGTTCAATATCAGCTTTGCACACTATGCCGGGTATGTTACTGTCAATGAGGAATCTGGGAGGGCTCTCTTTTACTGGTTTATTGAGGCTGATGAAGACCCAGAATCCAAGCCTCTTCTTCTTTGGCTAAATGGAGGTAAAGCTTGTTTTTTTACCTTCAATTTTGTATGCATTTATGTGATTAATATCATCATTTGCTCTTATTTGTTTTTTATGAATGAATTTCTTTTCTATTGCCAACAACATTTACGTAATTCTCTTTGTTTCTCTTTGGATTTGACTTAAAATTAGCTGAGCTTTTTCAATTTTATTGGGAAAAGGATATTCTCTTTCAACCTATTGTTCCCATCTTTTCAACTCTTTATTTACTTTAAAAAACTTTTCCTCCCTTTTACCTCTAATTCTTTCTCCGGAATATTCCTTTGCAATTAATAGTTTCTTTGGTCTGTAATTGGGATCAATACTTATGTATACAATTTTGATGTCCTTAGGGCCTGGATGTTCATCAATTGCTTATGGTGAGGCAGAGGAAATAGGACCATTCCATATTAGGCCAGATGGGAAGACCCTGTACTTGAACCCTTATTCTTGGAATCAAGGTAATGGTTTTCATTTTTCTTTTTAACTTTATGTTCAAGTTGAGCCAATAAAGCATTAATATGAATTGGGAACTGTAGATTTGTTTTTAATACATTTGTTGGTATCAACTGCAAAAAGAAATGTAATTGATCAGAATGATTTTCTTTATTTCTTTTAGCCTTAAAAAATGATAACATGCTTGTTTGTTATCTGAAACAAACCCATATATTGAACTTAGGTAGCAAGGTTAAATCAACTTGAAAATAGGAGATAGATATCTATTTTAATTTGCAGCCCATCTTTAATTCTAGTTGATGCATCTCTTCTCCTCGCTACAGCTGAGCCTTTTTATTTTGTGCTTTGATCTGAAATTCAAAAACATTAGACTATATGCTTGATTAAGCGCTTTATTTCTTCTGAAGTCACTAGGTGCACTTTTGCTCCCCCAACCATCTTCACTAGAACAGACACTTATGCGTTCAAATGCACACTAACACTGAGTAGACACAAACATACAAACAGATATTAAGTCAACCACGAATACAAAATAATAACAAATTACATGTATGTGGAGTAAACAGTGTTATTTCCTTTTGTTGTTCATAGCATCTTGTTCATCTCCTTATTCTATAACCTTGGCAGCTGAATGCCTTGAGTATAAATATAATTATTTTTTCCACTGGCTGCTCTTTGTTTGATGGTTGTCTAGGAGTAGGTGTATTACTTACATATTTTGTGCTTTATTTATAAAGTAAATATTACCTACTTACTATAGTTACTTCATTTGTGTTTTTGCAGTTGCCAATATTTTATTTCTTGACTCCCCTGTTGGTGTTGGTTTTTCATATTCTAACACTTCCTCTGATTTGCTAAGTAATGGAGATAAAAGGACTGGTATGAATTTCATACTTAGTTTCTTTATAACTCTGGTTTAAACCATGTCCATCTATAATTGTAGCTTACTTCTGTTTATACCTGATAATTCATTAATTTACAGCTCAGGACTCACTGACATTTTTATTAAAGTGGTTTGAGCGCTTCCCCCAATATAAAGGAAGGGACTTCTACATCTCTGGAGAGAGCTATGGAGGTAAACTATGGCATGCCCTTTGTAGTTCAGTATTATGAAGTAAAACAAATTTAATCTTTCATCAGCTTTGCCTACAGGCATTTTATGTTTTTATCTCCACTTTACTGCACATCCTCCACTATATATAGAGAAACCTCCACCTATACAGAGAAAAGAAATGGTTACAAAAAGATTTTTTTTTTTCTTTTTTCCATTTTGGATTGAAGGCATTATTGAACATAATACGAGTACTAAGATCAAACATTCAAGCTTACTGTAAAAGTAAACCTCCAAAGCATAGAAGTTTATAAAAATTACTTTTATATGTTAATACATTTTGGTTTTGGTTTTCTTGGTTTTGACATTAAATTATATGTCGCAGGGCATTATGTTCCACAGCTAAGCCAAGCAATTGTAAGGCACAACTGGGCAGTCAAGGAAAAAGTGATAAATCTGAAGGGTTACATGGTAGAGACTCTCTTCTATAAAGAAAACTGTTTTTCTTAATATCGGTTAATTAAATGACAAAACATCCATATCTGATGCAGGTCGGAAATGCTCTAACTGATGATTACCATGATCATCTGGGGGTCTTTCAATTTATGTGGTCTGCCGGTTTGATTTCTGATCAAACATTCAAGCTGTTGAACCAACTATGTGATCTTGAGTCTTTTATCCACTCCTCAAGCTCTTGTAATAAGATTCTAGATGTTGCTAGTGAAGAACTTGGAAACATTGACCCATATAGCATCTACACTCCTCCCTGCACCGCCAATGTTAGCCAGTCAAAGTGGCTGCTCAAAAGAAGGCTTGTGAGTTGATTCTTCATATTTGTGCGTTTACTAAATCTTTAGCATCCTTCTCTTTTTATCTGTCTGATCATGAGCAAATTGTTGCATGGTCCACTAGATGGTTGGTCGTGTCAGTGAGAAGTATGACCCTTGCACGGAGAAGCACTCAGAAGTGTATTTCAATCTACCTGAGGTTCAGAAGGCACTTAATGTTTTGCCAAATTTTGCACCATCTAAATGGGAGACCTGCAGGTATATGGTTCGTTTCATTTCTATATGCAGTATATTGAATTCAAAGGGAAATACTGAACATCCTTGCATGGAAAACACACTGGAAACTCTTTGAACAGTAACTTGTTTAAAGTATTATAATTTCTTTTTGATAGGTAATATTTTACTGGGCACTAGTGTAGTATCTAATTGTCTTTTATTTAATATCATTTTTTTTTGTATGTAATTAATTTCATTGAAGTTGAAAGATTCTATCCATTTTCTTTATGTTCTGCAGTGATTTGGTAAACAGTAACTGGAAGGATAGTCCTAGGACAGTGCTGGATATTTATCGAGAGCTTATACCTTCAAGACTTCGCATATGGATTTTCAGGTTCGACACTAAATCTATCATTTTATTTATTTACTAACAGCAGTGCTAGTTTAATATGTACTATCATGTGCTTAACTTGATAGTTCTTTCTCTTACATTGTACCTTGCACTTGACAGTGGTGACACAGATGCAGTCATCCCAGTTACATCGACCCGCTACACTATAGATGCCCTTAAGCTTCCAACAGTGAAGCCATGGCGTGCTTGGTATGATGATGGGCAGGTAAATCACCAAATTGAAATTCCCTTTTATTCCACATTGTTTCATTTCTCTGGATATTACAGCCCAATACTCCTTTACTTCTACCATTTGATTCGTTCTCTCATTAATTACTAGTTCCCCGAGAATTGTTTTCCAGTTTATCCCAGTTATCTTATGATTAAACTGTCATGAAATGCTGAACAGGTAGGTGGATGGACTCAAGAGTATGCAGGCCTCACCTTCGTGACAGTGAGGGGAGCCGGCCATGAAGTCCCTCTGCACAGACCTAAATTAGCTCTCGCCCTCGTCAAAGCATTCTTGTCAGGAACCTCAATGCCAAAGGGTGAACTAATTAGTGACTCCTGAAGTTTCCCAGGCTTTAGTTAAAATGCATAATTCAAACCAGGTGAAAGGAATGTCATTTATGTGGAACCCAAAGCGACACTTCTCATTCTTGTTCTCCTTTCCTTTTTCTAGGTTTCTCTCTTTGAACTCCAGCTTCATTGGTTCAGGATATCTCAACTGACATCTGAACTGTTTGAAAACTATCTCAAAATTTATCATTCATGGAACATGGTTTATTCTTGTATTGTGCACCACCGTTATATGGTAAAACTTTGGCTTTCCCATTCTGACTTGCATGAGCTTGTCCTCTAATGCTCTTCAAGTACGGATTTGAGCAATGCTGCAATTTGATTGATGTAAAAAGAAAATATTTATAATATGTAATACCATGCTTGATAATAATCAATGAGATACTGTTAAGAACTTAAATGTCTATGATGAAATATATGTCAACTATTTCATTCCGTTGCACCAAAAAATTTGTATACATTTTTATTGTAAAATGTTTTAACTACTAAAACTTTTAAAAATCTTAAAATTTAAATATTAAAATGGGTGGAATAGAGTTTATGAAATGGAAGTCACTTTCAAGGGATTATAGGAGAGGTATGGAGAGAGATTTAGGAAGTAGAGGAAGTATGCCACTGTTGGACTATATTCCTAGAAATTTTTGGATTCTGCTGTAAATTGTAAATAAAGGCTAAAATGAAGAGAGTCCCGAAGAGAAAAAAAAGAAGACAAAAACAAAGAGAAAAGTCAGAAAACTCGAAAGCAGTTATTTTGCTCCACTGCTTCACCCTCGGTTATCGTCTGGTCAAAAATGAACATCTGTTATCCCAACGACCCATGAGGTACGCCCAAACCTTGCACCTTCTCTTATTAAGACTTAGAATCGAATTTTATAGTTCATGCGCAAACTGATGCATCCAACTTTTATCTGAGGGTGATGGGTTCTTTGCAATTGCCCATTTCTTTGGACCCGATTGATTCAAAGAAGTTCATTTTCTGTGGAAACCCATCTCAGTTTTCCGATCAATTCCCCATTTTCTTTGTCACTAGTTATATTCGTTCTAGAGCTTGTCTACCCACTTCTTTGATTAGGCTCAAGCACATCAAAGTTTATCCCTTTGGAACTGAATCGCCCAGTGCACCCGACTCGAATCATGTTGAGGACAATACTGTTTCCCCTTTGGATGATGAGTCTGTTAGGGGAGAGCTGAGTGTTAAAGGTGTAAAAGGTCGAGTGGAGAAAAAGGGGTCGAGAAGAGATTTGGGTTTAAGGTGGGGTTTTAGAAGGAATTTGAGTAAACCAGGATGGGAGGATTTGTTTGTCTACAATAATGAATTGGATGTTAATTACTCATCTGTTGATCCTGACTTGAGCTTGAAGAACTGTAATGCTATATTGAATCGACTTGAGAGGTCTAGTGACAGTAATGCCTTGAGGTTTTTTGAGTGGATGAGGTGTAATGGGAAATTGGAAGGGAATTTGACAGCTTATAGGTTGATTCTTAGAGTGCTGGGTAGGAGAGAAGATTGGGATGCAGCAGAGATGATTATTAGGGAAGTGAGTTTGGATTCAGGGTGTCAACTTAATTTTCAGGTTTTCAATACAGTTATATATTCATGTTCTAAAAAGGGGCTCGTTGAATTGGGGACAAAGTGGTTTAGGAGAATGTTGGAACACAGTGTTCAACCAAATGTTGCCACTTTTGGTATGCTTTTGGGACTTTACCAAAAGGGTCGTAATGTTGAGGAGGCAGAGTTTGCATTTTCCAAAATGAGGAGTTTTGGAATAGTATGTCAATCTGCATACTCTTCAATGATCACAATATATACACGTTTGGGTTTGTATGAAAAAGCAGAAAAGGTTATTGGATTTTTGAGAGCGGATAAAGTGGTACTGAATATGGAGAATTGGTTGGTGATACTTAATGCATACAGTCAGCAAGGGAAGTTGGAGAGGGCAGAAGAGGGACTTGTCTCAATGCTGGAAGCAGGTTTTTCTCCTAATATTGTTGCATATAATACATTGATTACTGGTTATGGGAAGACATCTAATATGGAAGCTGCTGAACAAGTATTCCAGAGGATCCATCATGTTGGATTGGAGCCTGATGAAACAACCTACCGTTCCATGATTGAGGGATGGGGAAGAGCTGACAATTATGGCAAGGCAGAATGGTATTATGGGGAGCTATGTCGATTGGGATTTAAGCCTAACTCATCCAACTTGTACAGGCTAATAAATTTGCAAGCAAAGTATGGGGATGCAGAGGGTGCCATTAGAACACTTGATGATATGCTCGAGATGGGATGCCAACATTCTTCAATCCTTAGTACTCTTTTGCAGACATATGAAAGGGCTGGAAGGATAGAAAAAGTGCCTCTCATTTTGAATAGGTCTTTCTATCAACACGTCTTAGTTGACCAAACTTCTTGTTCCATCGTAGCCATGGCTTATGTGAAACATGGATTGGTGGATGATGCAATTAACATTTTGGGAAACAAAAGGTGGAAGGATCCAGTTTTTGAGGATAACCTTTATCATTTGTTGATTCTCTCCTGTAAGGAATTGGGTCATCTCAATAATGCTGTAAAGATATTTGCTCAAATGCCTGTCCTTGAAGACAAGCCAAACTTGCATATTATGTGCACAATGATTGACATTTATAGTGTCATGGGTCAATTTACCGAGGCAGAGAAACTTTATCTGAAGCTGAAATCTTCTGGAATTGCATTGGACATGATTGCCTTTAGCATAGTTGTGAGAATGTACGTAAAAGCTGGATCTCTAAAGGAGGCTTGCACTGTTCTGGAAACAATGGATAAGCAGAAGGATATTGTTCCAGACATTTATCTGGTCCGTGACATGCTCCGTATTTATCAGAAGTGTGGCATGCAAGACAAATTAGCAGATCTTTACTACAGAATTCTAAAGAGCGGAGTTACTTGGGATCAGGAAATGTACAATTGTGTCATAAACTGTTGTGCACGTGCTTTGCCAGTCGATGAGCTTTCCAGGATTTTTGATGAGATGATTCAGCATGGTTTCTCTCCTAATACCGTCACCTTCAATGTCATGCTTGATGTTTATGGAAAAGCTAAGCTTTTCAACAAGGTGAAGAAGTTATTCTGGATGGCAAAAATGCAGGGCTTGGTAGATGAGATCTCTTACAATACTATTATTGCTGCCTATGGCCAGAATAAAGACCTGAAAAACATGTCATCAACTGTTCAAGAGATGCAATTGGAGGGCTTTTCAGTTTCCCTTGAAGCATACAACTCTATGTTGGATGCATATGGGAAAAAAGGTCAAATGGAAAACTTTAGAAATGTACTGAAGAGAATGAAAGGATCAAGCTGTGCTTCAGACCATTATACCTACAACATTATTATCAACATTTATGGAGAAAAAGGATGGATTGATGAAGTCGCTGCTGTGCTGAAGGAAATAAAAGAAAATGGACTAGGGCCTGATCTTTGCAGCTATAATACATTGATAAAGGCATATGGAATTGCTGGAATGACTGAAGATGCTGTGGGTTTGATCAAGGAAATGAGAGGCAATGGTATAGAGCCTGATAAGATAACCTATGATAATCTAATAAATGCATTGCGAAGGAATGATATGTTCTTGGAGGCAGTCAAGTGGTCCTTGTGGATGAAGCAGATGGGATTGTGAGCTGTAAAATGTGGATAGTGGGTGATAATCCTTTTTGTTTCGTGTCATCTACACAACTGCCAACACCTAATTTTCTCCGGCTTCAGCTGCTCTTACATAACTCAGGTTAGATTGTGTATGGCCATGGTAATTTTCTCTTGTTAAAGGCACAGTAATCAGGGGGGGAAGTTGTTTACTTTATGAATCTGCTGAAGTAGGAGAAAACAAAGGTGCAATGGACTTTGTAAGACATTAATTTCCCATAAATATTCCCATAAATATTCATGCTGGAATATTATTTAAATGCTAAAGTTAAAATTTTTTTGAATTATGCCAATGAAGCTATTCCTGATTTGAGTGCTACTTATGCAAGTTTCTTTTTTTTTTTTTAACGTTCTGTTATTGAGGTATATAACATATATATTTTTAAAGTATCACAAAATTTAAATTTGACCCTCCAATATAAAGGTTTAAACTTGCAACCACTGGACGTTTGCTTAGAGAGAAATTATGATACATAAATTAGTTTATTAGCATGTGTACTTTGGATTTCATGTTCTTTAGAATTAGGGTTTAGTACTTTGGTTTAGGATTAATAATTTTGGGGTTTAGGATTAATAATTTTGGGGTTTAGGATTAATAATTTTGGGGCTTCAGAAATAGGCAGGGGAACTTATTATGTCGCAAATAGATTTGGGCTTCAGGCCCAAACTAGCGTTGGCCCAACGCATAATCAGAAGCAGTCTTTCCCGCCTATTCTTCGGTGAGTTGGGTTCGCCGATGACCGCCGCCTTTTTCCCGTTACCTTCAACGGTCAGAAAATCAGAAACACTTTAGAGCTTGGCGTTGAGCAAACGCATCAGAAATCCTCTCCCCTCATCGTTCCCTCTTAACTCTCCTTTCTTTCCCTCGCTCTCAGCCTCTCTCTCTTTCTCTTTCGACCCAGTTTTTGCCGCCCTTTCTCCCTTGTTGTGAGTCATTCCTTTCTTTGGCTTCTTGTTTCAAGAAATTCCTATGTTTTTCCAATCTTTGTGGATGCTTTTTCGAATTCTGTACTTTTTGTCTAAATGGGTATTCTCAAATTTGATACTTTTGAAAGAAATCAGACGTTTCCCATATTCCCTTTTGATATTCAAAACCGGTTTTTGGTAGTTTGTAGGGAGGGCAAGTAATAGGGTTTTAGGGGTTTTCCGTCCAGTGGAACTTAAAATTCTCAATAAATTGGGATATTTTGTTTAGGGATTTATATATCTGTTTCTGTTGAGTGATGTTTCTCAATATATTTGATTCTTCTTCTTTTCTGGGTTGAGGTCCTTTTTGAGTATCTGTGATTGTTATGAATTAGAATAAACAGGGTAACAGATATTTGCAGGTGATGTATGACTGTTTCTTGTGTTTCAAGTTTAAGTTGAATGTTTGGGAGATTAATCTCTGGGTTTAGGTTATGTGCTTGTAGGTGGCTTCATGTTTCTAATGTTTGAGATTCCATCTATTCAAAAGCGTGTATTTCTTGTACTTTCTCTAGATTTTTTATGTTAATGTATTCTAATACCCTCCCTAAAACTTGGTTTTGCAGCAGGGACAAACTGTTCCCAAAATTTGTGTGAAAGTATGTGCACGAGAGATTTACCTTGCAGCAGTCAGATGATTGGTTTAGTAGGCCATGCAAGACTTCTTGATGGCGTTGCTTTAGTTGATGCTCCATCCTCCAGCAGCCTTCAATACAGAGAATATGTTTCCCCCAGGGAAATAGAATCTCAAAGAAGTTGGAGAACTAGATCAAGCACCACCACTAATATGGATCATGTTATGACACATAATGATAACCATCTTTTTGAAGGAAACCATATGGCTCGGTCCTTTCAGCAGCAAGCCATGATTGATGAACGTACGTTGATTTGGAACGAGTCATCTGCTCATCCTTATGTGCATGGTAACGTCTTCATCTTTAATTCTCTTATTAATCTGGGGTGTCATTTATTTTTAATTTTCTTTTGTAAGGAATGAAATTCAATTTTGCATTGTTAAGAAATTTTTTCTTGGCTTGGACTGTCGTCCCTTATGTTTCTGACAGGCAGTGGTGCTGGTGGTCCTTGGGAGACTGGGCATAGAAGTTCCATGACCTTTTTGCATTATACTCCTCACAACATTCAGCACCATAGCCATCATTATCCATCATCAGTTATTCAAGGACCAACAGACCGCATCCACAATCCCAACATGCATCAAGTACCAGGTTCACAGAACACAATGAATCCTTTTCATGCTGGTTTAGAGATGCGGCCTAGGCATCTGCTATCTATGTTACCTCATCGACCTAGGATTTACCACTCTCGTCGAGAGGGTCATGTACTAGAAGCATCTCGAAGACATGGCAACCCTACTCGCCATATATTTCAGAGACATGGCAACCCTACTCGCCATATATTTCAAAGATATGGCAACCTTCCTAGCCGGAGGTTTCTACCACCAGAGGTAATTTTCTTCCGGGTTTTTTTTTTTTCTTTTTCAAAATAAGTAAAATTAATATTTAACTGGGTATATGTATATTTCTGATTATGTGTATCTTGACATATCTTCGGTTGGTTTTATATAGGAAGTTGCTGTGCAAGAGCTGCCAGGAGATATGCACTTGGGTGTAGAGGATGCTTCTTATGAGGTAAGTTGAGGTACATCAGTGTCTTTCACTGTGTTTATCTTGAAATCTTAAGTTTTCCAACTCCTTAAAAGAATTCTTCTGAACGGCTGCAGGAATTGCTTGCACTTGGGGAGCAAATTGGTAATGTTAACACTGGGTTGTCAGAAAAAATCATAACAAGTAAGTTGAAGACCAGAAAGTATGTACTGTCAGCAACAAATATTCATCTGAAAGAGAGTGCTGCTCCCGGCCAGGAAACTGATGTCTGCTGTATATGCCAGGTAGTCAAGAGCTTACGGTTGCAAACATTACTTGTTTTGAGCTTGAATTCTCATTTTTTTCTTCATTAGAATATGAGAAAGACTTGGCTTTTCCATTCTGCATTTTGATTTCCTGCTAACATATTTATTTTGGTATATATATATATTTTACAGGAAGAATATAGGAACCAAGAGAACATTGGTACTCTTAGTTGCAGACATGAGTATCATGCAGACTGTATAAACAACTGGCTACTTTTGAAGAACGAATGCCCCATGTGCAGATCTAGAGGACTAACCCTGGACTAAAGCTCACAGTATTTAGCTGTTATTTCTGTACATGAGCTAGCCTTTACGTTTAGATGGCATGATAGTCACCTATCAGTTGGCCTTGTATTTATAACAATGATTTTTGAGTTTATCCCATATAAAATTCAGTAAGATGGTTTTAGTTAAGCATCTGTTTGATATTTAACGATCCATAGAGTTTACCCTTTAGGATGCTGGTATCTATTAGTCCGCATTCAATCCTTTGGATGTGGTGAAAAAGTTACACCACATCCAAAGATGTCTAAACTACATTTTTTTTCCCCGAGTTGAGATTGTAAAACACTACTCTCATTTATGACTTACAAGAAGTTGACTAAAATAATAAATTCGATCTCTAATGAGAAGGCTTCCAAATAATTATTCCAGCATGGTTTGTAATTAACCTACATACAAAGTTCAGTGCTCAACCAGATGACAACTACCATATAAAGAGAACAAGAATAAATAAAAGAATTTTCCTTTTCATTTCTTGATCATAAGTAGTTGCATTTGAAGCATCTGAATATCAAATTTCTGCTACATGGTATCCTTTTTCTCCCTAACAGAAACATGAAAACAAATTGGGTAAAAAAGAAACAATCGCTCAACTTTAGCAGCACATTAAAACCTGCTACAAACAGTTACGCATCTATGTTGTCTTTGCTTCCCAGCACCGGAAAATCAACACATCCGCTAGCAGCATGCAACACTTAGTCTGACGGGTGGTACTACACCATGAATCACGATCATGTATGAGGGAGAAATTAGTCCTTCATGTTCTTGGTACTACACCATCTTTGGTAGGAGCAGTCCGGCATTTATTTCCCATAAATCACCTTCCATTTGGGTCTAGATGGACTTATCATCAGTGAATTTTATGATGCTTGTGTGACATAAATATATGTATGTACAAGGTGTTGGTGCCACGAATTGTGCTTGTTTGCCACGACTCAGTTAAAGAAATAAGGAGATTCTAGAACCTCATTCAAGTCAAAGCTGCCTCTCTCTGGGAGAGGGGGAAAAACCAAGCCAGGATAAGATGTCTGGAAGCTTTCAAGCAGCTGGGTAGCAATTAATGTAAAATAAAAAAATATGGTTAACAATAACGATAAAATAAAAGTTTATATCGCTTTATGAAACTTGGGTTTGAAAAAAAATGATACTGCAACTTCCCAATTTTATTGGTTTTCTGCAAAGCACTAAGACTGGGATCAAGAGACTTACATTTTCGAGTATTGGCATGCTATAAAGCTCCACAAAATTTTCTCTAAGCAACCGATTCATCTTGTCCACATCACACGCATGCGTCCAGAATGAATCATGGACCCCTGCAAACAGATTCATTTGTCAAGCAAATCAGGATTTATGAAAAAAAAAAAATTCATAGAAATCCATCTTTTGAATTATCTTCAAACAGTAAATCAGAAGTAGATTCAAAGTTATTATAATTTTGATAAAACAAATGATTCTCTGAAAATGTCTTGAGCTCTTCCTTACCTTGCTTAGTAATAAATGTTCTTTGATTTTTATTACAACAAACAAAATAAGAATGAAGATTCTGAAGTCCTAAAGCATGATTTTGGACTACATCAAACCAAGAGATAAGATATAGGTGGATATCACGGGAAGAGATTCTCATAGAATAATGGAAATATATATTCACCCTGACAGAAACTGATGGTGGTGTAGATGTCAAGGTCATCTTTGCGAAGAATCAGGCTGACCAACAAAAGAACTAGAAGATTATAAAAAATTGTAATATTAATATCTCTTAATGTTCTATTCTTCTGAGATCAGCAGTTCACACAAACTTAAGAATAAGGGCCACCTCTGCAGAACAACTGGTAACTTAAGCTGATATGATATTCAATAACTTATCTTGTTGGCCAAGTGAGTCATGGCTATGTTTCATGACTGAACTGACTTCCAAAGGTTTGAAAGATTTGAAGCAGTTAGGTTGACCCATGTCTTCTGTTTATTTGAATCTAAAGGAAAAAATTTTATACAAACCAAACAAATATAAAACACACCTAAAAGGTGAAACTGAAATGTACATCCAACATATGCAACAATCAATAATATGTATAGTCACTCCAGTTGTTTGAAAATGCCTTTAATTTTATAATTCATTATGAAATGGTCTAAGGTCTTCCTATGTAAAACTGCCAGTTCATACCTGCAAAATGTAGACCAGCATCCCTGCATGCAATGGTAGTCATCATCATGTGAGAACCATCAAGCGAGTGCACAAAATTTGGAGGGAATGCAGTTCTCTGTTTTCTAACTTGTACCTGGAATGACATGATAGTGCGTGTTTTTAGACAAAATATATTGGAAAAAAAGTGAAAGAGAAAGGAAGAAAAACAAAATGTACACTTACCAAGTTACCCTCCCGCTGCAATGCTAATACCTGAAGCGATGTTCTTACCTGCAAAGTGGGGCTGAAGTTATTACCAAATGGGTAAAATATTATTGCATGGAGTATGGACTGATTAAATTAGTTACAGGCCCATACATGGAGAACAAAAAACAAAATGATTTTTTTTCCTGGGGGGGTGGGTGGGTTGACAATGGGACTTGAGAGGCAATGTCACCACTACTAGTGGTTTGAGCACTTGTGTCAGTTTCTCAATTTAAAGCTAGATCTTGACAGATTTCCCCATAGATGTCCCTTATCCTCACCCCCAACCACAAAAATTATCATTGGCCATTTCTATGCTTACTGATGCTAATAAAGGACACAAGATCCATTATTGTGTGTAAAGGTAGGTATGCAAGGCTATGATCAGAAACCTCTCGGGATGACAATAAAACTGCATACTATCAAGATATTAGGTTCTTATTTGTTTAAATCCACAGTACAACTATTATTTTAACACTCACAACATGGCGTTCAGTTTTACAGTAGGGTTGCACAACTGGGAGTCCAAGAGGAGTTGTCCACTTCACAGGTTGGTTTTCTGAAGCAATAACCTGCAGAAGTTTCATGATTATTCAAGTCAATATGCCATAATTTGATGTCCTTCTTTTCGTAGGGCTGTCAATGCAACTTGATCCATGTTAAGTGGGGAAGAAGTCATACCTTGGCACAATCACCAAGCCAACCCATTATCCCACGGGCAGCTTGGAATAATTCTCCAAGGGCAGCCATTGTCACCTGTTAAAATGTTAATTGTATTTTGTATTAGATTTAGAATATGATTTTTTAATTGTAAGATGACAGATTAATATTGGCATAATCTACATTTCAGATATTCAGGAAAAATCATTCTTTTTTTTTTTTTTTTGGTCAACAAAAGATTATTCTCGGTCATCCCCTTTTTCTTCTCCACACTACATGCATGCATATGGTCCAGAAAAAATAAAAGATCTACATGCATGGATGAAATATAATTTCTCTCATTGCTTAAATGTTTACAACACTGCTCAAAAAAAAATAATGGAAAAACTTTTGGGTTCATGACAATATAAAAGTTTCAGTTTTAAACCTATAGACACCAATGTCATAAAATAACAAAAAGAAATGTAGTAGAATCTGAAAATGATAATGAGAGACTGAGATCTGTATGGAATCTACGGAATCTACGAATCAGCATGTACAAAAGGCAAACACAACATACCATGCATTAAATTAAAGTCTAGATTAATTTAAACAAACAACCACTTACATGAATGCATATAACTATAGATGATTGCCTACCTTGGCAGCATAGCAAGCTGCAGCAAATATTAGTCTATCATCCGTTATAAGACCTTTCTCCTCCAATCTTCGTCTTATTTGCTCACGTGCTCCAATGTAGGTGACACCGTATACAGAGGTCATAACTGTTTGTTTTACCAGCTTCCGATCCACCTGAAAGCCTCCAAAACTTTAACCAGTCAGCTAAAAAGGTCAAAATGAAAACAATTATAGGAAACTTAAATATGATTTAGAAGGAACCAAGGAAGACTAGCCTGATCAATTAAGATCTTTGCCAATGATGCTTTGGGATTTGTGGCAGGATCCTTCAGGCTGTCCCTTTTTATTATATCATGAACCCTGGAAAAAAGTAAACAGTTTAAGTCTCCTTTTATCCAATAATATCTAACAACACATGAAAAATAAAAGAAAATAATGCCAGGAAAAAGCAGCACAAAAGATAGAAAGTTATTATCTTATATGATATTAAAAGATCAAGAAGCACAAAGTAGAGCCTTGGAAAGTGTTGGCAAGGCACATAATCCTCCTGGTGAAGATTGTGAATAGGAAGAACTCTGACTGAATAAATAATACAGTGAGATGCTGCATCATGCCATTATGTGCCAATATTAGTCTTCTACCCAAAGATTAATAAAGGCTTAAGATAACATGCCTGCCTGAAACCTTAACAAAGTTTTGGTCTCAATATCATAATGAAATAATATACCTGGCAGCAATTTCTGAATAAACATCAGCTGGTTTCTCTCGAGCAACCAGGTTAACTGCTGCAGCCTCCAACTAAAGGGAAAGATAGGAGATATAAGAATGCATCTCTAATGACAAACATAAGAGAAAACTAGAAAAAAATGACTGGGCATTATTGGAGACCAAAAGCAACAACTATTACCTAGAAGGGGAGAGGAGGCCTCTAGAGATTATAAGGAATGTTAAAGAACAAATAGAAAACTATAACATGAGTATGCCAAATGTTCTAGTGCTGATTAATTCCAAACAGAAAACTTACACTGTCTCTTCCCAAGGCTGCATAGTGCTGTAAACCATTGCAAGAACCATCCTACATCAAAATTTTTGACAAATCAGGGTTATTCACATGACGTTCAGTAATGGCAAAAGTTTCAAACAAAGTTGCTAGTCCAGCAGAAAATTGGATGCCTCAACATGTATGACTCAAGAAAGGATAGGAACCAAGCAACCAATGATCCGTATAAAGCTAAGAACAAAAATACTACTACATTAATATTTTGATAATCATATCTACAGAAGGGCAGTTAATAATTAATTTGATATGATAGAAAAAGCATTTATGTTGATTTAACTGCAAAAAGAAAAAGAGTCTTAACATGTACCCTTAAGAAAAGATTGCATATGATGGAATAAATCTATCTCCACTTCAAAGCTCCAAATGAAACATATTTACCTGATGAAGTGGCAGATGCGAAATGACAGTATATGGTGACGAGCTTTTTAAGGCTTCTGAGAGATTGATACAAGCAGCTAAGCATTGAAAAGGATCCTCAGCAGTTAACCACCAGCGGTTTCCATTAATAGGGTTTTCTGCTGAATCAAAAATATCATCTAAATGGTTGTCCACAAATTCTAACCGCCCATCATGTGAAAGCTTTTCAACACCGCCCGAATACAGGTTTGCTAAATGTATCTTCAGCCAACGTAAGCCAGACCTCCCTAGTGGTCGTCCTTCAGCAAATTCAAGAACTCCTCGACAAAGATCAGAACTTAGATGATTTAAATGTGGATGCATGGGGTATGCACGGCCACGAAAATCAACATTGTGAGGATAGTAAAATCCTTCCTCATCTTCCAGTTTTTTAGCCACCTGTCTTAAGATAAGCTTGCTCAGAATCCACGCTTCTAAAATGAAATATTGGCTACCAAAGAAATATGAAAGCAAACATCAAAGAGAGAGAGAGAGAGAGAGGATCTATTCACAGGCAAACAGAAATGAAGATCCATGCAGGTAGACATGTTTGCAGTTATGCATAGACCACATGCAAATGATCACACAAATATTAACTGTGAAGAATGGAATCTTACAGAAAGCTTAAATTCAATGTCACATCGTAGAGAGTGTCTCTCCCGATTAATCTTGTTCGCCTTCCTCACACTCCATTTCCACTTTTGAATTTCAGTTGAATCCTCCAAAGGGGGTTTCTCTGGTATTGGTAGCTAAAAGCCAATCAAAAGAGATTTCAGACAAGATGAACCAAATGGACGTCGGATAAATATGATAATTCCTATGAACATTAACCAAAAAGAACTGATTGCACCACGTTAACCAATGGGATGTTTAAACAGAGAAACTTGCATGCTCTTTAGATTATTTTGACCTTCTTTTCCCTTGTTTTTCGGGTTTTCAACAAACAATATTTTAGTATTTAAAATCCTCTGATTCTAGTTCCCCACGGATTATCTAAAAGGGAGAACTACTAAATTGCCAGGTTCCAAAACAAGCATCTGCCAACAAGTTCATTTTTGTTGTTTTGTTGGGACTATTGTTGCAAAAATAGCAATTGAATATGGCTAATAGTAGAATAAAAGGACATATCTCAAGTTTCAACATATAAACATTTTTCCTCAAACATAAAAGTGCATGTCCTCACATCTTCCCGGTTAACCAAGCCAGCAATGTTGCCACCTCTAGCCCACAGAATCTCTACCACAGTAAGTACTTTTTTATTCACCCTCCATTTAGTGTTTCCAAGAGTATCAAGGGCCTGCCCATATGACATTCACTAAGTCAAGCATCATGATCATGATACAAAGATAAAAGATAGAATTAAAGTAGCAATAACAATTAGAACAGATTCATCAGAATTCCAGCAATAACTACTGATTGGAAACAGCTTTTAATCACTAAAGATAAACTATTGATCATGAAACTTCAGCTCAAACTTCTCCAAGATTCAAGGAAACTGGAACTTTTCCATTTTTTTTTTCTTAAACTCGTGAAGTAATTATCTCAAATATTTAAGGGAAAACTATTCTTTCACAAACAATAAACTAAAGATCGTAATCCGAAATTAAAACTACAGGACTAAAAGAAATCAATATTTAAGGGAACCTTTCACAATTAGCATATATTTCAAAATTTTAAAATGCAATTTTGTTCAAATATGTTTGCTTAAAGAAATCGGGAACACTAACGATAGAAAGAAAAATACAAGACGTATTAACTAGTGTATTTGACCCAACTTCTAAAAAGATCTTCTTTGCGGCAAACACTAAAGTTGGACCAAACACAGTTTTCTGAAAAGTGCTTTTGGCTTTTCTGTTAGATTTTTGGAGTAAAAAGAACAGGTTGAGAGGGAACTTGGAGGAGAAGGAGAGACACCTGGACTTCCCTCTTTTGGTGAGGTCAGAACCCATTTTCTTCCATTGAAAACTGGTATCTTTGCTGTGAAACTAGAACCAGATTCCATTTTTGGGGTTCAAGGTGTTTGGGTGTCACTGGGTTTTTCTAACCTGTGCCCTAAATAAATATACATTTTTGTCATAAATTTGTAATAGAAAAACAAAAGTTGCCAACATTTTTACCTCAAAAACTTTCTGCATTTGTTTTGCTGGTGCATTCTCAAGTGCTGCTTGCTGCTTTTTTGATCCATGAGTACGCATTATGTAAGAAGGCAGGAACAAATACCCACCCTTGTCATACCTAGAAGGAGTTAAAGAAATAAGTAATATAAGAGTTCCGGCAATTTGTGAACCAAATTATCAACAGTGGTTACTACAAACAGCTAATAGAAGATTGCTTCTTTGATGTTGATCTATCTTTATGACATTAAGAGAATGACAGGATCTATGTCACCTATACTGATTAAATTATGAGTTATTTACTCAGCTTCTAAGAGGCAAAGTAAAAGTAGGTGGAGATGCAGCAATGTATAACATCCAAGCAGCAGGCTGTGAGAAAAGAACATGTTATGGTACAATCAGTATTCTCTTTGGCTAAGATATATTTTCTCTATATCATACCCTTTCCATTTTTTTGGAGGTATCAGCATTGGCATATAAGGAATCATCATATGCTTAGCCTGCAAAACAGTGGGAGAATAAAATACTTTCAGAATCAGAATGTGAAGAGTCAGAGACAAAAACTTAAGAAATGTTCATACTGGATAATGGATTGTCTTACCGCATTAATGTTTTATTCTACAGGAGATAAAAATTTCCTCTACAAGTAATCACAAAAAAGGTTTACGAAAAAAAAAAGGAAAAAAGTAATGTGTGGAAGACTAGAAGTGAATGAGAAATTGTTCCATCAAAACCTTGAATCTAATTTTCACCTTTTCTTTCGTCTTTTTTTCTTTTGTTGTTGTTTTATTTTATTTTTTTATTTTTGGGCAGACAACTACCAAACCAAAGATAAAATAAAAGGCCATAAAGCCCTTGTATGCTCATTTTCTATAACAAGTTAATCAATTATATGATTACACAGGAATAGATTATTAAAATTTGAGATTGAGAACACTAATCCAGCAATGCTAATCTATAACTTGATATGCTATAGAACTTTTAATTTCCAGAAAGAATATAAAAAATGGAAGACTAGTCTGACTTACAGATCTGTCAAGCCCTGTTAATAACAACGGATCACATTCAATAACCCCATATCTCTTTAGCAATTTTTGCCTACACAAACAATAAGTGAATTAGAATAGTAGTTGTACATAAGATAATATATAACACAACATAGCACTATCAGTCATCAGTCATTGCCCCAAATATTCCCCATATAGCAATACACATCAAGTGCAGGCAAATTTGACAAATTGGCCATACGACTACACATATTAGTCATTGAGTATAAAATCTAAACAGGTTAATGTAGAAATTGACCACCTCTTGAATGGGCCACCATCTATCAAGGTGACTTTATAGTCTGTACTCGTGAAATGGCTAGATGATTACATCCCTTGGACTGTGGTCTCATGGATCATGATTTAGAGGGCATGGCTCCTTATCAATAGATACAAATAGATAGCTGAGATGAAGTCTCACCTAGGACTATTTCCTAAAGATTTCAACTTGTGTGTGAAAGCTGGTCGAATATCTGGGGGGGCATCTTTGGACTGGTTAACTGGATCTTGCACATAAGCTGTCTCAATTAATAATTCCACAAGACGACATCCCAGCTGTAGAATCAAATTAGGAAAAACAACACCTTTTAGTATAGAACTTAAAAAACTACACCACTATAAGAGAATTAACAAACACAAAACATTTTTTTTTTCTAAAAAAAAAAGGCATCAACATGCAACAAACCTGAGCCTGGGCAGCCCGACTCCAAGGTTTAAATTCTAAATTCTTTACCAGCTTCTGCACCTCAATTGGTCTTCTGCTTCTAATCAAACTATTAAGACGTTTCCTAAGCATCTCCTTCTCTTTGCTCTGACCTTGAGCAACATCACCAATCTTCTTTCTGGAATACTTAGTTTGCTCCAAGAAATTATGAATCTTAACCTGAGGTAAGATAACTTAGTAAGATTTCAATGAGGAGAAAGAAACAATGGTTGGAAGAATTCAAACCCTCCAGACCAACACTGAAATTGCCATTACTGCAGAATTAAGAGGTTCGGGGGCCAGTGAAAGAAATTAAATAACAAGAATGAAATAAAGTCCATATTCCAAAAAGGTTAAAGACTAAGAATACGTATTTGGAAGATTAAACCAAACCATATTACTTGAAAGAAACAGCACATAACAACCATGTAAGGCAAGATGTCATAGTATTAGATAGTAATAAGAGGATATAAAGGCTTATAACCCAAGAACGGATATGACTGTTTTTTGTTCTACCAATAGCTTAACCTGTGGCCTAACCAGTGGATAGGCGTCCTCCACATAAATAGGCAAGACTGATAATAGTTGTAATACAAAATGCTGCTACTGAATTTTTGTTGAAATGAAATTTCTCATCTCCATTTATTACCGAGTACTAGCTCATCACCCTGCCTATGAGCTGTTTCCTCATTAGCACTGAAACAGTGAAACCCCATTCAAGAGGGCGTGAATTTGGAATAAAAAACGTACAGTTCCTACTAGCTAGCAAGTTAAACCTTATATAAACGCTATTAGCTAAATCAACCACACTAATAGAATCAATTCAACCACTAGATAAAAAATGGCCCAATGTCAAAGAAACTTGCAGACAAAAAACTTTTAACACTGAACAAACCAAAACTTAACAGTTACCTCATGCTCAATAGCCATACCAATGGCAACTGCAACATGCACAACCGGCACACAACCATTCTCTAGCCCTGCCATCACCATCTGCATCAACTTGTGCATAACAACAACTGCCATCTTATCAGCAGGCAACAAAATAATATGCGGTGCATAAGCTGCCCTCACCCTCTTGCTTTTAGCGTTCTGAACTCTCTGCTCGTTCGCTATGGCCTCTGTAAATGGTTCAAACCACCCCAAAAACAACCCCTTCAAGTATGGCAAATTGGGAGCCAAATTCTTCTGGCACATATCTCTCACCAATTCTCTGTATTCTGCCACAGTATTCTCCCAAGCCTCAGTCTCTTCCTTAATCTGCCTCCTCCTCAGAAGATTATACTTGGTCTTCTCCTCCATGTGTCTATGCTCCAATTTGACCGTCTCACTCATAATTTTGTACAGACCATTCAAGAACAGGGTTGATATCCAAGGTGGGTCTTGAATAAAGAATGTTTTGGGGGATTCCTCTGCGCAGTTTTGGTTCGATGGTATAAGCAAATTTGCAGGATTTTCGAGACTCTGGACAAAATTATCGTCGGTTGAATCCTGTACGAGGAAGTGTTGAATTGGGTTTGACGGGAACTTCGAATTCAAGCTGAGAGGAAACGGGAAAGAAGAGAGTGAAAAACTGGAAAGCGAAGTGGGGGTTGTTCTGGAGAGAAAGTGAAGGTTTCTGTAGAGTTTCTCCGATTTGGGGGGCTTCGGCCATGGTGGGTATTGGATGTGAGCAAAGGTGAATGAACTCGTTGAAGTCAGCATCAATGGAGATAAGCGCCCCAACAGAGTGGTGGCGGAAGGAGAAGGAAGAAGAGTGGACTGAAGGAAACCTCCCTAAAACCTCTCTATGCTCACTGGCTTTTGTCTGCAGAGGATATTCACGCTTGATTTTTCTCCTGTCGTATTTTCATTTTCCCTTTTCATTTTTACTTGAAATCTTTTTCCTTTTTATTACTTTTTCCAAGAAAGTGAAAAATCGGTGGGTGGGAACGAAATGAAATAAGATTTTTTCTCTCTTGGGGTTCAATTCTTTCTTCCCCTTTTATTTTAAATAGAAAAATTTTGTAAGCTGTTACTTTAACCTTTTTTTCTAAAAAACCTTTGAAAATGATATGCGAGGAAAAAGAGAAATCAGGACGTCCTGATTAAAAATATTAATATCTTTTATTATAATTATTAAATATGTAATATCACGTAGATTTCAATTTTATTAAATTTATGATATGATTATAAAATAGCTTGATTTTTTTAATATTTAAGGTGTTTTGATTTTTCTATTTCATGTAATATGGTAGGGTGTTTATATCCGATCCAATCCAATTGATCTGACCTAAACTGATCCAATTCAATTAAAAATCAATCTAAACCGATATAAAATTAAATTAGTTTGAATTTTAAAATTTTAAAACCGATATAATTAGTTTGGTTTATAATTTTACTTTCAAATCGCTCGAACTGTCCAATTATAAAATAAAATTTGATTAGAAGATAATTTAATTAAATAATATAACATATTTTTTTGTAGTATTTTAATTTTTTTTAATTTTACAATATTATAACTCCATTTAACTTAATTGAAAAAATAAAAATATAACATCTTTATATTCCCTAAGTTATTTCTCCATTTTAATCATGCACTCTAACCTTAATTTTTAATTTTTAATTTACCTACAATTCTATCATTTCAAAACTTATTTGCACCTTTACTCTTAGAACCCTAAATTTTTAATTTATTCTTAAAATAATCTTATGATTTTCCTAACTAAATTTTAAATAAATATCATTCTAAAAGCTTTAAAACTATATAATAAAATTAGTCTTAATATTCAACTATTTTTATATATTTGGTTTAGAAGTTTTAAATTTTAATTTTGAATGTTTTTAATCAATTTTAGTAATATTCATATTAAATGTTATTCACTTTTAACAGGATTTAGAAAATGACATTAAATTATTAGTGTATTAAGAAAAAAAAAAATTTTAACCTTAAAGAATTATTTACGTTGTACTAGAAATTTGAAACTATTTTTTATTGTTTTTGGTGTCTCTAGTAATGTAATCAAGAAGAATTTTCAGAATTTTTTAATTTTTACAAATGTAAAAAAATATAAGAATTCATTTATAATTTTTACCTTTTATTATATTTTTACTAATTTGGATGTTAATGTATTTTATAGTTATATTTTTTATTTGATATTAAAATATTTTTACATTATCTTATATATTTAATAATGTTAAAAACCGATAAATCCGACCGAACCACACTGATCCAATTTAAATTAGATTGGTTTGGTTATCACATAATAATGGATTGGATTGATTTAAAAATTTTATTAACTGATTAAATTATATTGATTTAAAAAATAATAAAATTCAAACCAAACCACACTGCGAACACCCTTATAATATGCATATAATTTTTTTTTATATACTCTATTTGTTTGAAATCAATTATGTGCTTTTTGTAAAATTAAGAGTTTAAAAATAATTTATGTATTTATTTATATTACTCAAAAAATTAAAAAATAAAATAAAATTTATTGTGATAAGATAATTAATTAAAATAAATATATAATGATAAGATAGGATTAAAATAGAAAAAAAATATGACTTTCTTTAAAAAATAAAA